TAATACCAATTTCCGTTTGTTAGAAAGATCGACGGAAAAAAGTCAGGACACGTCATGCCACAATTTTGTGCCCTGGTTAGAAGTCAATCAAGTTCGAAAAACTTTTGCATTGTCGTATGTGTTAGCATTATTATGTCATCATGTACATAAACGTCATAAGAAGTATAAGAAGTTTAAAGTTTAAGGTTTAGGATCAAAATTCCTAATTTATATATGTTATACGTATGTATTAGTTGGCGATTATAATTATATGTTCGTGGGAATAGGAAATAATTCCGCCACTTGCATGACGCAATTTGCATTTATTTCATGATTTTTATATTTTAGCGCATATGCGCTGTAACGCACCCTAATTTAGGGTAAGAGCTAGCATTAATATAGGTTAGGGTAGAAACGGAATTTAACAAGGAATTTTTTTGTTTGTTTTAATAAATTGTAAGTCATTACTTCTTTACGCACGTCTTTGAATGTGTCCCAGGTTTCGTTTTGTCAAAAACTATCTATTTTTCAAAAAATCAGTATAAGAAAACACCTTTAGTGCTCTATCAAAAGTCAATTTTACTCCATAAACTACTCCCTTATGATTCCTAACCATGACCATAACCCGAGCTTTAAAGAATTTTGCTGCGCCACGAACCTGGAATGACGTATTATTTTTAATATATCTTAAGAGAATTTCTATTTGTACATTAACAAAAAGATTTTATTGCAAAGCTCAAATAATTTTATTTTTTAAGCTTTAAAATCTCACTCTAATATTAAATAGAAATTTTATTAATAAGAATTATATATTGCATAAAAATACAAAATATTTATTAATCAAAACTCTTTACAAAGTTTTCGTATATACTATAAAACGGCTTATTTATAACAGAAACTCTCGAATTAAAAATGTATATTTCAAATATATGTATAATAAAATAATGAATTTTTGGCAAATATTTGCGCAATTAAAATTTAGCAGATAAATAAACTTTAGAGCGGAATTTACGCGTGTGGTACGAAAAATTGATGCGTGGCGTAGAACCGTTAGAAAAAGTTGACTGTATACAAAAGAATTTCAAAAGTTTCTCAAACTCGAATATTTAAACATGTAGTAAAAATTCTTTTAGTTACGGAAATTAATATTCTATTAATGACTATGTATGTATTACAATTATGAAAATAGATTATAACACTATTAACCAGTCCACTTTATCTTGCAAAGTAATCGAGACATTGTCAAATGAAACATATCATTTGTTACATAAAATGGAATACAGTCAGTACTTGATAATAACTATAAGGTGAATGAAATTATTCCACTAGAACCAAAGACCTTAAAGTCTGCCATATTATGTACGAAAAGCCGTAAGGATACAATCTGTTTTTACTATAACCTGCACAAAATGTAATTGTAAGGGTAAATGAAAATATAATTCTTGTAAATTTAGACGGTGCATGAAAGCGAGTGCTATATTCATAGTATTAAATGTAAAAATATAACGATGCAATGTTTTAGCTAGAAATTATTTTGTTGAAATTTATATTGCTTATAATTTTTTAAAATCCTATTATATTTAATTGACAATTCGCGATAGAAAGAGAATAAAAACTGGGGGAGATTTTTATAATAAAATATATTAATACAGGAATCACGATTCCTATAGTTTTATAGAAAAAATCAAACTTAAATTGCTTGTAACTTTCTACATATCTAACTAATTTTACCGATCTTACTATCATTAGAATCGCAAAAACTAGCTCTACAACTTTCATTAGATGACCAAAAGATGTTAAATTAATAAAAATTTAACTTTAAATAGTCAGGAATGCTGATTTCTATATTTTATATATAACGTTATAGATTTTATTAATACAAATTCTCCTTCTTTCGTGAATTGTCAATTAAGTTGTTTTGAGATTTAAGTTGATTCAGAATTAACTTAAGTAGATCCAGGATCCACAAGATTCCAGATCGATCTATCTACAATATGGTTCAGGTTTGAAATTAAACTTTTGTAGTTCGAGTTCGGTTCGATTTAGAGTTCGAATGATAATTTATTTTTAATTCGATTTTGTGTCAATTGTTATTCAATTTGATTACATGTGTTTCTGAGTTATTGATTTATTATTTTAACATTCGGGTAATTTATATTACAGGATTTTATAAAGAAAAAATAACAATTATTGTTGCAGATTATAGAAGTTTTATTGGCAGAATATATGAGTCGAAGAGCATCGTTTCATTCGGATAACATATATGATTTAGCAGGTCTTACGGCTTTATACCTAATCGCAAAAAGAACTAAACCAATTTAGCCTTGGCTAAAGGGTGCAGGGAACGGATGCTACTCTTTTTATAGCATTTGATAGTCTAAATTTCTTGGCATAATTATTGTGACAAACGAAAACAAATTCCGGGTAATCGATCATATGATTTACATGATTTAACTGGAACTTTAACTGAAACAATGACGAATAATGACTTTTTTCATTATAATAAAGTCATCTTTTTACTGCATTAATTTTTAAACCGATGATATTGATTTTTTGTTTTTTTTTAGAAAAATACACCTTCTCTATGATGATCAGCTATAGTTTAGGCCATGCAAAATTGATTTTTCGTTTTGCATTACCCACCGACCCAAATTTTTCAAAATCCCTATTTTTTTTTTTTTTCGAGTCCCAATTACGCTAACTATTCCATTTTTGCTGTTTTATTTTTCGATCTTTGTTATCCGGTGTTACCCGATGGCGACCATAATTTTCCAGAATTATCCGATAGGATTCCAAGGGAAAACCAGACTTCAAGCTTTTAAAATCTATAAATTGCTGAACTAAAACATGTCAGGAACAAATAAAATTGCAAGCCCGAGGTCTGGTTTTCCTTTGGCAACTTTAACATTTTTTTTAAAAAAAGGTATAAAAAAATTAAAAAAAAAAAAATCGACCGACCGACCCAATTTTTTGATTCCATGTAATGCAAAACGAAAAATCAACTTTGCATGGCCTTATTTGTAGAATTTTTTATGTGACACCTAAGTTAATGTATTGGGCTAAAAAAAAAACACTTATTTCATTTACTTGTCTTATACGGGTAGCTACAAGCATAAACGTACGTACGCATAATGCAGGGTGTAAAAAACTTCAGTTTTCTATAAAGCGGTAAAATAATGTACCAAATAAAATTTAACCTCTTATCGAAGAGTATCCAAATTTATTATTCTCAAGCAACTTATTCTTGTTTCTTAGAGTATTGTTTCTATACAAAGAAAAAAGAAATTAATGCTTTCATTACATACTTAGATTACATATTAGATTACATATTTACCTAGGCAAATCAAATTAGAAGTTCGGGATTGTTATACAAAAATAATATTATATTACGGCACTTACAACCTATTACAATTTTATAGCAATATGATATTTACAACTTTGAAGCTTGGTTGTAATCAAGGGTTGCAAACCTAGGTTGTAATCCGTAATGTCCATAATTATTAATTACGGCCAGCAACCTTAGTTGACACCATACAGGAAGTAAACCGTGAGGATTACAAATGCTTCTAGGATGACCTTAGCCACCTATATGGAAGAGCCTTGGTAAGCAATGTAGTGATGCGAAGGATACATAATAAGGAAATTAGGTTGAAGCACAAAAATCCTGGTCTATATAATTGTGGGGTTAATATACCTCGAGGATAAAGTAGTCCTAAGTCATATATATATATTAGTGATTTGTATGAGATGTAAATAAAAAAAAAAAAAACAGGTTACCTACACGTTGATCCTTCAATCGTACAATTTTTTTAAATACAGGAATGAATTCGTTATATAAATAAAAATATTCACGTCAATCCATTGTAGTTTATTCTTGAATTGTTCACATTCATGTTTTGTCTTACTATAATAGGGATATCACAAACAAGAAATCGAACAATTGGATATATCCAAATATAGAAACTTATGTTCTTTCGATATTTATTCAATATATATACCTTAACCTTACATACTTATCATACAAAAAGAAACCATATAAAAAAAAACAAAAAAAAACAAAACAATAATTCCCGACTATTATTATTACAAAAGCTAATGAGCAACATCCATTCGAATTAATTCAGTTAATTCGTTGACGTACTGATCAAGGAGAGGAACGCTCTCTTGAAATTTGGATCCACGGAAAAGGAAGTTATCGATTTCCATAGGAAATACATCAGCGCCTTCATCGTCAATAGCAACAACAGTAGGTATTACATTTCCACCAACAACAACTTCATCGTTAGTAGTAACGTTTTCAACATCCTCATCAACAGCGCCTTCATCTTCAATGACGTTGTCGACAAAATTTTCATTGATGTTTTCAGTGACTGAAGTTTTGATGTCAATTTCAACGTTACTCGGATCGTTGTCCCTCTTGATATTACTAGAGAAGCTTTCAGTGACAGGATTTTCGTTGTCTTTTTTGATGTTATGTGAGCATTCAATGACCAAATCATTATTATTTTCGATTTTATTGGGACTGCCTCCAGTAACCAGACTTTCATTGCAGCTTTCGTCATGACAATTGGTTTCGTTGTTTACTGCGGTACTTCCTTCCATGGTGCTATCTTTTTCTTTGTTTAAACGTTAAAATATTGAGGGATTACTATTATTATGTTCTTTTTATTATTTTTTGAATTTATTATTCTTTTCTTAATATTATATCTTAAAGGCTTCTCTGTGGTATTTTTTTTGGTTTTTGAAAATAAACGTAAAGAGGAAAACCCAAAATTCATCAAAAATCGCCTCTGTATTTATTTGCAATTTGTGAAACTTAAGGATACTTGTATGTTAATTACTAAACTCATTATAGTGAGATTTCCACTCACCTGTCCAAAGCATTATGCAATACTTAAGTCAGTTGAATTAATCTCGGTTATTAGTTGGTACACATTTCCATTCAAGGGAAGGAATGCCGAATGATAAAATATAGAAACTTATCTTAGCTCACTTTTATGAGCCAAAAAAGTGTGCATTAGATAAAAATGCATTTATGGAGAAGGATCTAATTACCGAGCTTACAACGTCCTTGCACATTATTATTAGCTGATCGATCTGATCGAGTCATTGTCAATTCCGGTGGCATTATAATCACGTGCAATTATCAACCGTTAGCATTATTCCCTCATCCTCTGTATTGATGTACGATTATCTACAGATAGAGCCAAATCATGTGAGCAGTTAGAAGCTCCGTCTATAAAATTTCCGCAATTACATGATTGGTAAGTAATCACATGATTGGTAATTCACATGTTGTCACGTGAGATGTTTAGAACGAGACATTCTTGATAGACTACAAAGATTAAAACATCGGTGTCATTGCTCCATGGGATTGCCATGTACGTGGATATGCTGCAGACCAAATAATTGCTTGAAAGGATCGTTTACTGGTCCAGGGCATATGTGGAAGTATCTTGTATATACATTTTTTCAGTATTGCAGTTAAATGAGTTCAAGGCAAATTTAAAGGTAGAGTTTTATTAAGATACTAAAAAAGATTAATTCAGGGGGGTGCAATATTCCATCGTTTACAGAATATTTGAATGCAAACAAAGTATATTGTAAGAATCTGTATATAGCATTTTCTTGAATAAATGTTAAGAAAATAATGAATTTAAAACCGGAAAAACTGTTTAGTAAACGGAAAAACAAGAGTAGCAAACGGAAAATTGGAATAATAAACGGATTATTTTTTTGATATGAAAAACGCGAATTTATAAAGGAACTGGATAAGTGGAATAATTGCATTTTTTTTGATACAATCTAACCAAATTGCTTTGTCTTTTAGTTTTTTTTTTCTCACGATAACACAGATTTCCTAGTTTGGGTCCATAACATCGTTATTGTAAATGATGCATAATAATGAAACACTGGATGCGTATATCGATTACCTTCGAAGTATTAAACTATTACAGCCATATATTATTGAAAAAATCTCTAGTTGTCACAAATGAATAAGATGAATATTAACGGTTTGAACTTTTACGGCCTCTCATGTAATTTAATGACCTGTCTTTTACAAAAGAATTTGGACATTATAACCCGCAAATTAATACTAAATTTACAACGTTACAAGTGGCGTGAGTACATATTAAAAAATTTTCAATTAAAAAAAAAAACCAAAATAATAAAAATATATTAAGGATAGTGAGATAATTGCTACAAAACGGACCTAATGCGTTTAGTGTTTCATTATGCTTATATAATCGTCAAAATTTTTTTAAAATACGATTTAAAAAAAAACTTTTACTACTTTCATCACATGATTAGACTTTAAAAAACGTAAAGCTGTCAGTAGCATAGTGAAAATATATTTATTATTAGTGATGCCTGACGAAACCATGTAATGCTAATTGCGATAGAAAAAATATATATATTTAGTATTTAATAATTTTAGCGTTAGAAAAATGATGATAAATTTTTCACATGTTGATTTATTCCTTTTTGCTGATAAAAATATCATCAAGTGGCTGTCTAAATAAAAAAATATCCATTTATATATGGCTATAAATTGCATTTTACATAGTGATATATCACATCGCAAAAGTATTTATATGCGAATTTGGTAACTTATTGGATGATGAACGAGTGGTAAATGAGTTATTGTTTAAAGTCTATTTTTTAAACTTGTCGAAATTTAAAAATAATTCGACGACTAAGTTATTATTTTAATTTTACACTATGAAAATACAGTTTTAGTAACCCTGGCCGACGACGAAAAAAATTTGGCTAATCAGCTTATCGTTATCCATTAAAATCAAAGCCAGGATTATATATTCTCAAAATATTTGGTGTGGAACCTAAAATACAAATGAATGAACCTAAAATACGACCAATCTATAAATCGGCTATTCCGATAAATTTACCGGCTTAGTCATAGCTGAAAAATAACACTAAACTTGTACGTATAACAATAAATAATATAATTTTGGACGCCCAATAGTAAACCTATAAATTTTTGATAAGTTACTGTAAGTTGGCAAAAAGGCTTTGTCCGAAGCTTTTCGTTTTAATGCTAGTGAAAATTAATAGTAATTTGGTAACTTACAGATTATTACTTTAAAGTGATCTGCAGTTATGTCTCACCAAATTTTTGCCCCAAATTCTGTCGGGTATCTTTCTGGTGATAGATAATTCAGAATTTCAGGATTCTAATAATCATGCGGGTGTACGTACATAATACAACCGTTTTTGTAATACAGAACTACATAGCATCTTTTTTAAGCAAAATTGCGCAACCCCGTAAAAATCTTTTTTCAATAAATTATGTAATCATTTAAATTTTAAATCGATTATTTGCATTTGGTGAATTGTTCCGCCGTTTGCTAGTTCGATTTGAGAGATGAGCCCCCTAATAGTTCTATAAGTGATATCGCATTTATATCACATTATAGTGCTGACTGGTCGGAGCAAAACTTTACCAGTTCATGTAATATAACTTGTTAACTTTAAAATCGAAATAATTTTTAAACATAGCTCTTAGCCAATTAAACTAATAGTTCAATTTGGTTTTATCTATTATACGTATACTGGGTATAAGATTTTATATCAAATTAGATTTAAAAAGTGTCAGATACCACCTGATTTGGTTTAATATGTAAGGGTTCAAAATAACCAAAATTAAAAAGCATAAAATTGAAGTTATATTACGTTTTAAAAGTGGATTAAAATAGATAAAATTTAGTAATGTTATATTTAACTTTTTTTTTTGGTCACGGATTGCCAAGGCTTTTCAAAATAATTTCAAAATGGATATTCAATTAAATGTAGGGGTGACGTAGATTATTTTTAATAGTAATTATATAGCAAATTATATGATATCATATGATTTACATATAAAATTTTGTTTATATTACACAAATTTTATATATAAATCTTATGTGACCTAAGAAACTTATAAGTTGACCCAGGAAAACTTAGTAATATATAAAGTAATTTAAAATAATTAGAGGTTTTAGATTTATATACTATTAAATTTTGATAATTTTTTTTTTTTTTTGATATTAAGGTGACTTCTTTGGTTTTTTGACTTTTATTAATCACTTATCAGTATTGTGGTTTAATGAACCACTACAGGAGAGAGTACAATTGGCTACATGTGTAATTTTTCTATATTACCTATTTAAGAAGTCTGCCTGAAGGTTCTTTACTAATTGTCATACTTAACATTCCTGCTTGTGTGTTCCACTTTAAACCTTCTGAATCTGTAAACTGTGTTAACTCACTGAGTTATATCCAGATGTTCAAATCATTATCTCAACCTTAGGATTAATTTATTCTTGAGATAAACCTCTTAAAACTTTCTATATATATTTTTACAGTTGATCTAGATATCACTATGGCAGAACTAACATTTGTAATCAGAGCTAACCATTAAATTGCTATGTTCTTGTAGAGTTCACTTAGATCCCAGCATCTATTTCATAGCATAACTCTGGTATTTTAGTATACTCTTGTCTTTTCCCTTGCTTTTTTACCAAACTTTCAATTTAGATAGTCTGTATAGGATTATGACCAGTCTATTGGTATATTAGATCAGTCTGATATTCTTTTTCTCCAGTTCATTTCAGCAGTCTGGTTAGTAGTACCTCTAAGACTCTCAATCCAGAGGTTTTTGCCCATCCAGCTACTATAGCTGAGTATTAGACCTTGATATTCATTTCATCAGACTAGTCTTTACAATAGAACCATCAAAGATCCAGTTACTTCTCTATTTAGGTTTTTCTAAATAGACTTCTTGTTATCCAATTTTAATGAATTTATACAGTCACAAGGACTTATCTAATGTTTGCATTGCCCGATTTGTCAGTTTGCATTTTTCTATGTAACTCCAATATTGCACAGATGCCCCATAACCTGCCAGTCATACTGGTGTGATTGCCATTACAGATATCCTAATCCAATCGTTAGTAACAGTTGCTATAATATGAATATTATATAAATAATTATCTAAATTTTCATCATCAATAGGATTTGAACATCTAACCTACCATTTGGAGGTTAACAACCTGACTATTTCACTAGGTTGCACACCCTTATTTATTTTTTATTTTATAAATAATCATATTAGTGTTTTATTTTATTTTTTTTATTTTTTTTTCTTTTTATAATCTTAAGCAGTTACACTAATACTTTATTAAGATTCTTGAAACTATATACATTTATAATTACATAAAAATTTTCAATACTCAAGTCTAGCATTATTCGGCCACTCTATTGGTGTCTAAGTGCAACCTGTCACACTATCTCAGTTAAGAAAAACTGCTTATCTAACTACTTAAAGCCATACTAGAAAGGTCTTCTTCTTTCTGTAACAAGTATATCAATTGATTTTCAAGCTTTCTCCTTCATTCAATTTGTTTTTTCTGTTTTTTTTTCCTTTCTTCTTCTTTTGCTATCTTATTTTTCTTTGTTTTTTTTCTTAATCTTTTTTTAAATTAAGTATCTTTTTTCATTTTGCTTATTATATTAATCTTCTTTTCCTATTCTTGTACTTTTTCATATCAAATTCTTCATACTTGATTGTAAAATATGTTCTATGCTGTCTTGTCACTATATCT